GGGAGCCCTGCCAGAGCGCCGGGGGCCGTCCAAGATCGCCCGAAGAACGCTCGAAAATGCGCTCCGATGGCTCCAGATGCCTTTCAAGAGGACTCCCATGACGCCAAGAAGGCCCCCGAAGGAACCGCAGACGCCCCAAGAGGCACCCCGAGAGAGCCCACATCAGCAAACATCGTCGATTTCCTTTCGGCAAGCTGATACTTTTGGCGTGTGCGCCTTTTGGGCTTCCACTGCGTCCAAGACGGCCCAAGAGGCACCCAAGTTGGTCGAGGATGCCCCCAAGAGGGCCCCAAGACGGCCCACGAGGGGGCCAAGACGGCCCACGAGGCGCCCAAACCGCCTAGCACGCCCCAAGGCGGCGCCCAAGACGGGGACGAGAAACCGGAAATTCGCGCTTTTTGGCCCAAGAGACCCCCAGGAGACACCAAGAGGCTCCAAGAAGCGCTCAAGAAGCCCCCCCATGAGACCCCCAAAAACACCAAAAGAACCCCCGAAGACGCCCCAAGAGGCACCCCAATAGAGCCCCAATCTGCAAACATCGTCGATTTCCGATCGGGAAACTTATATTGTTGGCGTGTTCGCCTTTGGGGCTTCCACTGCGTCCAAGACGGCCCAAGAGGCACTTAAGCCGGTCGAGGATGTCCCAAAGAGGGCTCCAAGACGGCCCACGAGGGGGCCAAGACGGCCCACGAGACGCTTAAACCGCCCAAGAACGCCCCAAGGCGGCGCCCAAGATGTGGACGAGGAACCGAAGATTCGAGCGTTTTGGCCCAAGAGGCCCCCGGGAGACCCCAAGAGGCTCCAAGCAGCGCCCAAGAAGCCCCAAGAGGCCCCCAAGAGACCCGCAAAAACACCAAAAGAGGCCCCGAACACGCCCCAAGAGGCACCCCAATAGAGCCCCAATCTGCAAAAATCGTAGATTTCCCGATGGGGGAACTTATATTTTTGGCGTGTTCGCTTTTGGGGCTTCCACTGCGTCCAAGGCGGCCCAAGAGGCACTTAAGCCGGTCGAGGATGCTCCCAAGAGGGCCCCAAGACGGCCCACGAGGGGGCCAAGACGGCCCCCGAGGCGCCCAAATCGCCCAAGAACGCCCCAAGGCGGCGCCCAAGATGGGGACGAGGAACCGAAGATTCGAGCGTTTTGGCCCAAGAGACCCCAGGAGACCCCAAGAGGCCCCAAGAAGCGCCCAAGAAGCCCCGGGAGGCCCCCAAGAGATTCGAAAAAACACGAAAAGAGGCCCCGAAACAGCCCCATTGACCCCAAAACGGTCCAAGAGAGCCCCAGGGCGCGCCCAAGAGGGTGGACTAGAGAGCTGGTCCGACTTTCCACACTCTACAGAGGGTCCGTCCCCGGCGGTGCCTCAAGCAGGTGATGCCACTGGAGTCCTCGCTTGCCTGGGGCAAATCCAAACATTTTGGCGCACAGCGATCCCTGTGTCTGTGACACGTAAGAACCTAAGCGCGCGCGAAGCGCGCGTGGTTCTAGTGTGTATATGTATGTATGTATCTATGTATATGTATATATATATATATATATATATATATATTCACACGCGCATACATATGTGTCGTACATGTGCATGTGTATGTATTTTTATGTATTTGTATGTGTGTATATATGTACACATATATATATATATATATATGTATTCCCCCAATCAGAGTTTGTCTCAGTAGGGGTCCTAGCGGATGCATATGGTTAAGTGAGCCGTGCCGCCGGTTTCGGTGGCCGGGCTGGGTGCCAGGGTGCCTGGGTGCCCGGGTGCTTGGGTGCCCGGCCCGGGTGCCCTATAGCCCTATGGGCCTCTAGCCCTACATCCCTATAGCCCTATCGCCATATAGCCCTATAGCCCTATAGCCCTATTGCCCTGTAGCCCTGTAGCCCTATAGCCCTATAGCCCTATAGCCCTATACTATAGCCTTATAGCCCTATAGCTCTATAGCCCTATAGCCCTATAGCCCTACAGCCCCATAACCCCATTGCTCTATAGCCCCATCGCCATATAGCCCTAGAACATATGATTGGGTTTCCTCGGTATCATATATACAACCAAAGAGTACAGCTAGTCCCCCTTCGGGGACCCCATCATGAGGAAGACATGTGCAGCGATACGTATATACAGATATCGAAAGAGAGAGAGAGAGAGAGAGAGAGAGAGAGACACAAAAAAAACAGGAAAAGAGAGAAAGAGAGAGAGAGAGGCAGAGAAACAGAAATATACAAAGAGAGAGAGAGAGAGAGAGAGAGAGACAGGCAACCAAAGAAATATGACGCCCAACGTGTCTCGAGACATGCATCCAATGTCTCGCGGCAGAGAACTCATCACTGGACTCGCATGGTGTTTTTCCCATCAACTACGCATGAGACGTGTCTGTTTGTATCGTTCCTGGGCCTTCGGCGGTGCACGCGTGCGGGCGGGCTGCGAACTTGGTCCGTGTGCTGAAGGATACCAGATTTCTTGCGGCAGAAGAATCAGAATTGGGCTTGCATGGTCTCTTTTTGCAGCAGGTAAGCATAACATTCACACACACACACATATATATATATATGTCTACACGCATACATCTCTATATATATATATATATAGATATATATGCGCATCGTTCCTGGGCCCCTGGCGGTGCACGCGCGCGGGCGGGCTGCGAACTTGGTCGTTGTGTGGAAGGAAACCAATGTTTCGCGGCAGAGAAATCATCATTGGGTTCGCAGGGTATTTTTGCAGCAAGCACGTCTGTGCGCATCGTTCCTGGGCTCCTGGCGGTGCACGCGCGCATGCGGGCTGCGAACATGGTCGTTTTGCTGAAGGAAGCCAGTGTCTTGCGGCAGAGAAGTCGCCATTGGGCTCGGAGGGTGTTTTTTTTTGCAGCAGGTACGTATGACAGACATATATCTGCGCATCGTTCCTGGGCCCCTGGCGGTGCCCGCGCGCGGGCGGGCTGCAAACTTGGCCCGCGTGCTGAAGGACACCACATGTCTCGCGGCAGAGAAATTGTCATTGGTATCGCAGGGTGTTTTTTTGGAGGGGGGGGGAGGGGGGGGGGGTGGTAGCAGGTGCGTACGACATTCGTGTGTGTGTATATATATATATATATGTGTGTGTGTGTGTGTGTGTGCATCGCTCATGCACCCCCAGCGGTGCACGTGCGCGGGCGGGCTGCGAATTTGGTCGGGTTGCCGACGGAAGCCAATGTCTTGCGGCAGAGGAACCATCCTTGGGCTCGCAGTTTTTTTTTTTTTTTTTTTTTTTTTTTTTTTTTTTTTCCAGCAGGTACGTATGCCATGCATATAGCTGCACATCGTTCTTGGGCCCTTGGCGGTGCACGCGCGCGGACGGGCTGCGAACTTGGTCGTTGCGCTGGAAACCAATGTCTCGCGGCAGAGAAATCATCATTGGGTTCGGATTGTGTGTTTTTGCAGCAGGTACGTATGACATTTATAGATTTGCGCATCGTTCCTGGGCCCCTGACGGTGCACGCGCGCGGACGGGCTGCAAACTTGGTCCGTGTGTTGAAGGAAACCAATGTCTCGCGGCAGGGAAAATCATTGTTGTGCTCCCAGGGTGTTTTGCAGCAGCTACGCGTGATACATATATCTGCGCATCGTTCCTAGGCCCCTGGCGGTGCACGCGCGCGGGCGGGTTGCGGAATTGGTCACTTTGCTAAAGGAAACCATTGTCTTGTGGCAGAGACATCATCATTGGGCTCGCAGGTTTTTTTTGTTGGCAGCAGGTACGTATGACACATCTATCTGCGCATCGTTCCTGTGCCCTTGGCGGTGCATGCGCGTGGGCGGGCTGCGAATTCGGTCGATTTGCTGAAAGGGACCAATGTATCGAGGCAGCGAAAAACATCGGTGTGCTCACAGGGTGTTGTTTGCAGCGAGTACGTATGACGCATATACGTATATATAGGTATAAATCCATATTTCCATATATATATATATATATATATGTATATGCATATGCGTGCATATTTAATCATTATATATGTGTATCTATGAGTGTGTATATATATATATATATATATATATATATATATATATATATATATATATATATATATATATATATATATATATATATGCGCATCGTCCTTGCGCCCCCGGTGGTGCACGCGCGCGGGCGGGTTGCGAATATGGTCGTTTTGCACAATTGTCTCGCGGCAGAGAAGTCATCATTGGGCTCGCAGGGCGTTTTTGCAGCAAACACGTATGACACATACATTTGCGCATCGCTCCTGGCCCCCCGGCGGGGCACGCGCGCGGGCGGGATGCGAACATGGTCGTTTTATTGGAGGAAGCCAATGTGTCGCGGCAAAGAAAATCACATTGTGCTCACAGGGGGTGTTTGCTGCAAGTACGTATGACACATCTATCTGCGCATCGTTTCTGTGCTCCGGGCGGTGCACACGCGCGGGCCGGCTGCCAACATGGTCGCTTTGCCGAAGGAGACCGATGTGTCGCGGCAGACCCCATACGGGAGGCCTCCAGGAAGACACCCCGCCGAAGACACAGCCCCGGACGACGCTGGGCATGCTCCACCTCCTTCCTGACGCCGCTCGACGATGCTCTCCCGGCGTGCGCTCCCCCGCCCCAGCCAGGCCCTGGAACCTTGACGTCCGCCTGTCTGATATTTCCAGTCCGCGGCCACAGAGGTCGACCGCTTTCCCGCGGCCATTTTTTTTCAAGGGAGGAAAAACCACCCAGACCCGACAATTGGCGTTTCCTGAACGGCCATGGGCGTTTACCAGCCTTGCCATGTTCCATTCCTCCTGTGGGTGCGTTTGCTAAACGGCTCCGCGTGTCGGGGTGATCATTGTGGTGGTGGATGTTCGGCCCTCTAGTGTCCGCCCCGCATCCACTTCCGGTGGCCCCCGGGCCCGATCACGGCCCCCAGAGGCCGAAGCCGATGAGCAGACGCCAGTCAGAAAAATTCGGGCCGTCGGAGACGTGGGAGTGTGCCGCGCCCTCCGCTGCCGTGCCTTCCCCGGCCCCCTCGCTCCAAGCTGCACTGCACGCCCCCGCCCCGGCCCCCCTCGCTCGACCGGAGCTGCGAACATGGCCCGCTCCCGCGCGGCGCTCCCCCTCGCGCTGGCCCTGGCCCTGCTGGTCGGCGCGGCTTGGCAGCGGGCGCCCGCGTTCGCCCCCGGCTCCCCGCGCGCCCCCGCGTCGCAGGTCGTCATCATCGTCGCCGCTCGTCGTCATCGTCATCGTCGTCGCCATCGTCGTCGTCGTGCCGTGTCCGTCGGCGCCGCCGTCGCCGTCGCCGCTCGTCGCCGTCGTCGCCGTCGTTCGTCGTTCGTCGTCGTCGTCTTTTGCCCTTCGTGTCGTTCATCGGCGTCGTCGCCGTCGTTCGCCGCTCGTGGTTCGCCGTGAGTCGTCGGTGTTGCTCTTCGTCGTCCGTCATTTGTCGTCACAGCCGCCGCTCGTCGTCGCCGTCGTTCTCGTCGTCCTCGTTGTCGTTGTCGTTGTTCGTCGCTAACCGCCGTCGGCGTCGTGTCTGAACCCTTTCCGATGCATAATGATTATTGATAACCCCCTCTCACCAGTGCCCGTTATGTTTCTGAGTTGATGTGTGCCCCCCCGCCTCTCGCACCCTGTTCCTGGTAAGGGAAAGTCTTGAGCGCCAAGCTGTGTCCCTGGCACCCTTGCTGCAGCAACCACGGCCCCCGACTGAGACTTCCGCACACTTTTCCAGGAGTCGCACTGTGGCTCCCGCTTCTCTGCAACGTATCCAGGAATCGTGCTTTCGCTGCCGCTTCCCCCCGCGTTCACAAAGGGACCACCGCTCAGCAATCGCGCTGTCGCCTGGGATTTTCTCCAAGTGTAGGAATCACGATTTCGCCTCTTAGGAATTGCACTCTTGCCGAGGACCTCCCAGAATTTATCCAGCTGCCAGCGGCAAGTCACGCCACCGTGCCAACCCAGTGCTCTCGGAGGCATCTGTTCGAGGGGCGACAGGAGGCTGTAACATGTGAACCGAACGGCGTTAGAGGTACAGTGTGCGTGTGTGCGTTGCCGGTTGGAGTAACGATCAGAATGCCATATCATTTCACGTTTTTGTCGTTTTGAGTTTGTATTGGGCCATCTGAGGTCGCCCTAGGGCGGGCTAGGAGGAGGAAGGAAACGATGATGAGAAGGGGGGGACAAGGAGTTGGAGGAGGAATGACATTGGGAGGAGGAGGAGGAGGAGGAGGAGGAGGAGGAGGAGGAGGAGGAGGAGGAGGGTCAGGAGGCGGAGGAGGGTCAGGAGGAGGAGGAGGAGGAGCCCTCCTGCACTGGAGCCCCAGACCCCGTCTCTCTGCGCCATTTGTCGACCAGTAAGCCCCGCCGCCTTCTGAGACGGCCTTCCCCTTCTCATTTCCCCTCCCTCGCTCGCTGCCGACATGCGGCGATGGCACGCTGGCGACGCTGGCGAAGACGTTCAAGCTTGAACTCCGCATGATGAAACGACGCGGAAGCACCGACGGGCACGGTAACGCCGCAGGACGCGACGGGATTCGACCTTGAATGATCGGGGCCGCGATCGGTTCAAGGTTGAACGATCGATGCGGTCTCCAAAACCTTTGCGCGTGCCGACGCTGCACGAACCTACCGTACCTGGAAGGGGTTTACCCAGGGGGGGTCCGATCGCCTGTCTAAGTTCGCCCGCCCCCGTAAGGACAATCAAGTCCCAACTATGTTTATGTATCCAGACCGCAGGAGTCGGCTGTTTGGGGTACACGCGCTGAGTGACATGCGAGGAAAGAACGACCAACACTAAAACCATCATTACGCCCAGCATTGCTAATCCTTAGTGAGAGGTGCCTTTCTTTTCCGGCTCCCGCCTTGTTTTGTTCACGGCAAACGTTGACGCTCAAATTGCGCCTCTGGCCCGCCGTTACAACTACAACAGCAACACTCGTTTGAAGACGGTTCGCTCTTATCTGCCCGCGCGCCATTCGACACATAGATCACAAACCCTGGATACGCACCCCTCTTCGTCTTCGATCGTGTCCTCCTTGGGGATGCATCGTGCAGTTGGCGCAGTCCCTAAAACAGGGGAAGGGAGGGCGGAGGGAAGGGACCAGGGTTAAGTCGGGCCTCTCCCTCTACAGGGGGCATATTCAAAAATACTCCAGAAATAGTCTGGGGACTATTTCTTGAGGGCGATCAGCAGGAGGCGAGTTAGCTGGAACGCAAAGCGGCAGAGCCGGGCGGACGGGGCGGGAGGGCAGACCCCCTCGGGCGAGCCGGGCGGGCAGACCCAGATGGCCGGGTCGAGCGGGCGGGCTGCTGAAGCAGCAATCTTGCATGGATCGGGAGGCAGTGTCAATCGATGGCGCGATTCGCAAGTAAATCTTAAGGAAGTCCCAAGCGAGAACATGGCTGTTGAGTGTCGAGGGCGCGGCGTCTCAATACATTGCGAAGAAGTCCCACCCAAGAGCACGATTGTTAGGTCAAATGAGAGGAATTCCAGCGCGAGATCGTGATTTAAAATCGACTATGAGGAAGTATCTGGCGGGAGCCGCTGAATGTTCATTTCTTAAGAGTAATCGTTGTTGATCCCCCCATGGTGCTTTGTTCATTCAACCGCAGTGCCCCCCTAGGGGATGCGCCAGGTTTTTTTGAAAGGGACAGTCTTGAGCGTCAGATCGGGCCCCAGGCCTGTGGTTTGCCAACACAACGGCTCCGGCATGATACGTCCTCACAATTTGTTCAAGAATCGAGCTCTCGCGCGGGATCCCCTTACATGTTATCCAGGAGTGGCGATCTCGCGTGGAACTTCATCACAATGCATTGACACGCCGCGCCCTCAATACTTACGAATCACACTTTCCCTTAGGCCTTTCGCAAGGTTCGTGTTGGCATCCCTGCTGCTAATCTCTCGCGTGCTCCATCCTTTTTCCCTCCCCTTGTCCCTTCCTTCCATCCGTCCTCTCTTCCCCTGTTTAGGAGACTGCGCAAAATCGTTCTGGCAGGTAAGGAAGATATACCCCCAAAAAGGTACGATCAAAGACGAAAGGGCGGGTACCGAGGGCTTGGGGTGGAAGTGCTGAATGGCACACAAGCAGATCATAGGGAAGCATCTTAAAAGGATAGTTGAATTGTCATTTTTGAAATAATTATTGCTGATTCGTCCGTAAGTGGTGCACATTGTGCTTTTTCAATTGAAGGGTCCTCCTCGGGGCACGCACCCGTATTTTTGTAGGCAGGGGAAGTCTTTGTGCCTAAACTGGGTTGTTGGGCCCCGAACTGCAACAACCACGGGTCCCGCGTGATACTCCCTCATGAAGTTATTCAAATCGTGCTCTTGCGCGCGGCTTCCTCAAACTATGCAGGAATCGCGCACTCGCGTGGGATTTTTTGTGATCGATTCAAACGCTGCGACTTCGACACTCAGGAATAACGCTTTCGCTTCGGCCTTTCTCATGATTTACTTGGGAATCGCGTTATCACTCGGGACCTCCTCGCGATTCATGCAGGACGCACCCTTCAGCAATCCGCCTGCTCGACCTGGCCGCCTGTCCGACCCGCCCGCTAGGATTACCCACTCGCCCGATCTGCACGTGTGTTTCTGCTCCTAGCCCCCCTCCTGCTAATTTCTCTCGTGCTCCATCCTCCTCCCTCCCCCTTGGTCCCTTCCTTACATCCGTTTTCCCTTCCCCTGCCTTGGGGCCTGCACGACATACATGTTGCAGGTACGATAAGTATACCCGAAGGGGGTACGGTCGAAGACGAAGAGGGCGGGTATCGAGGGTATGGGATACACGTGTTGAATGGCACGCGAGCAGATAAGAGCGACCAGTCTTAAGATTACTGTTGCTGCTGAATTCTCACTCCTGAAGAATAGTTGTTGAAGATCCCCCTCTGGGGCACAACATGTACTTTTCAATTAAAGTGCCCCCCCTCGGGACTCGCACCCTGTTCTTTATCAGGGCAAGTCTTGAGTCTCAGAATTGTGTCGTTGGCTCCTGGTTTACATCAATAGCGGCTCCCGTTTGATACTTCCTCACAGTGTATTCCCAAATTGCGTTCTCGCGCGGGATTTCCTCACACTGTATGCAGTCATCGCGCTCTCGCGTGGGACGTCCTCGCAATTCACTTTGAGTACCTTCATAGCTTGGGGCCCCCAGATTACAAGGGCTCCTAGGAGTACAAGGGCGCCTCCCCCAGACTACAAGGGCACCCCCCCCGACTACAGGTATCCCCCCCGGACGACAAGGCCCCCCCCCGGACTACATCCCGGGACCCACCCCTGGCCTACAAGGACCCCCCCCGGACTACAGCCACCCCCGCCCAACACAGGAGGTGCCACGGGTTGCCAGTGACGGATGTCGGGGCCGTTGTCTCGGAGAAGGGCTCCTCGCACGCGCGCGCGTCTGCAGCAGCGGAATCGCCGCATTGTTTGCCGACGGGACTGCGCGCTTGTGCAAAGCGCATTGTCTGCGTTGTCCCCCCCGGGACTGCAGGACCCCCCCCCGGACTACTACCCCCCCAGATTACAAGGCCCCCCCGCAACCGCACCCCGGACTACAGGGCCCTCCCCCGGACTGCAGGGCCCCTCCCCCCGGACTATGGGTCACCCCAAAACTATGGAGGTACTCAGAGTATTCAGACGCCGCGCCCTCTCAACCCTTAGGAATCACGTTGTCGCTCGGGCCTTCCTCGTAATTTACTTGGGAATCACGCCATCGCTCGAGACCTCGTCGCGAGTCGTGTTCACGCTTCGGCAACCCACCTGATCGAACTGGCCGCCTGGTCCCGCCTTCCCGACCCGCCCGTTAGGGTCTACCCGCCCGATCTGATCATCTGACGTGTTTTCTGGTACTGGCCCCCCTCCTGCTAATCTCTCTCGTGCTCCACCCTCCTCCCTCCCTCTTCCATCCGTCTTGTCTTTCCTTGTTTTAAGGGCTGCGTCAATTACACGCGGCAGGCAGGGAAGACATACCCCCACGGCGGTACGATCGAAAACGAGTAACTCGGGTACCGAGGGTTTGGGATATATGTGCTGGATGGCATGCGATCATGTAAGAGCGAGCAGTCTTACAATGGCTGTTGTTGTGGTTGTGGTTCTTGTTGTAGGAGGGTGGCCAGCAACCCAATTTGAGACTCAATATTTTCCTTCGAAGCAAAAAGAAGGCGCGAGCCTGGGGAGAAACACCCCAGTCGAACAAAAGCACCGTGGGCACCGGAGAGGGGGGGGTCAGCAGTAGTAATTTTTGAGAGACGGGAGTCCAACGGCCCCCGATCCAGGCTCCCTCGCAATTTTTCTGCAGGAAGCGCGCTCTCGCCCGAGAAGTTCTGGCAGTCCGCCCGCACGAGCAGCGCGCCCTCGCCGGGGGGACCTTTCTTCGCAGCCTGCTCGGGGCGCCACGCGCGCTCTCGGTGCCCAGGAGGTGCGCCCTCGCATGCAGGGCCTCCTCGCGATCTTTGCCGAGGTGCCGCGCGCTCGGGACCGAGGAACGCGCGCTCGCCCAGGACTTCCCCATAGCCCACTCGCCCTACCAGTCGGCCCTGATTGGTAGGTCGACTTTGCCAATGCGAGCGTACCCTTGCGTCCTGTCTACCCCGACGGGTGCAAACCGCACGCCCTTTGGTGTTTTGGGGCCACGTTGCCGTCGCAAGAGTCCTGTGTCGTCGCGGGCGTTCCTGTCCAGACAAGTCCGACTGCACCGTGGGGGCATTGTTGGTTGAGGACTGTTCCCAGGAGGCTGCAGACCCTGGCAGGTTCCTTATATCTGAGGAGGGGCGGTGGTGATACCCATGGCCAGGCCTCAGTTGGCGTTCCACCGCCTTCCAGATCCTGGATTCCTTATCCAATGGCTCCTTACTCAATACAGTCGGACCGAGATATACGATCGAGGTCGGTTCGGGGAGGGTACCCTCGTGCTCTTCCTGTGTGTTGGATGCTCTTCCCTTGGATGTTCCGCTTACCCTGGCCGGCGGAGGGTCTCATGTTCTTGAAGGGTGTTCTTCTGGCCTCGGTCCGACTGTATCCAATGTCTCTCTTTGCAAACGTGGCCCCCAAGAGGTGCCCAAGAAGCCCAACGAGATTATGTGGGTGTCTTGGGAGCCTTCTGGGAGCCTCCTGGGGCTTCCTGGCGGCTCCCTGGGGGCGCCCGAGGTCCTCGTGGGGGCTTCGGGGGCCCCTCTGGGCCTGGGGACCCCCCTTGAGGGGGGGTGGCACTCTGACCAGGGACTCCCCCCGTGATCCACTCGCCCTGCAGCTTTACCCTCCTCCTCCTCCTCCTCCTCCTCCTCCTCCTCCTCCTCATCCTCCTCCTCCTCCTCCTCCTCCTCCTCCTCCTCGCTCCTCCTCCCGCCCCCCGCCCGCCCCCCGGCGTGCTGCCGCACGCCCCGCCGTCGGCCCCGCCCGCCCCCGCCCCGGCCCCGCCCGCTCGACGCTTCGCAGCTGGCCCGACCGCCTGCCTGACTGCGCCCGCCACCGCGAGGAGGAGGGAGGAGGAGGAGGAGGAGGAGGAGGAGGGAGGAGGGAGGAGGAGGAGGAGGAGGAGGAGGAGGAGAGAGGAGGAGGAGGAGAGGAGAGGAGGAGGGGAGGGAGGAGGAGGAGGAGGAGGAGGAGGGAGGGGGAGGAGGGAGGAGGGGGAGGAGGAGAACGAGGAGGAGGAGGAGGCGAAGGAGGAGGAGGAGGAGGAGGAGGAGGAAGAGGAGGAGAAGGAGGAGGAGGAGGAGGAGGAGGAGGAGCCCCCCCCCTCGAAGAAAGAAAAGAAGAAGAAGAAGAAGAAACAACCGCACGGACATGAAAGGCGGCGCTCCGCGAGGATCTCTTGGATCTGCACTGGAGATCCCCGGCGGCGCCTCTGGCGCTGCCCCTGGCGGCGCCTCCGGCGCCAGGGAGCAGGGTCTGGCGCGGATACAAGAAATCCGCGTGGACCTCCACCAGAAGTTCATGCTCATGTTAAGTCGGGCCCCCACCAGAAGTTCCACCAGAAGAGGGATATTCAAAAGTAGTCAAAAAATAGTCAGGCGACGAATTCTTGACTATTTTTGACCATTTGGGCATTTTTTGAGTATTTTTATTTTTCGCCCAAAATCCCCCTGTAGGGGGACACGCCCGACTTACTGCTCATGCTGTGTTCTGTCGTCCTGCCTCCGAAGGCGGGCGCGCCCATGTCAAGAAGAGGGCGGCGGGTCGGGGGCCCGGGATATACAGGCTGCGTGGCCCGCGAACAGTTTCCAGCGCACCGTTGCGAAAATGATGGATGTCGTCGTGGTCGTCGTCGTCGTCGTCGTCGTCGTCGTCGTCGTTAACCAGATCAGCTTAAGCCCGAACTCGGTCCCCTGACACTTCCTGGGGTCGTCCCGGCCAATTTTTCCAGCCGCGCCCAGCCGCGGCGACGAGAATCTCCAGCGACGCACGCGAACCTCGTCGTCGTCGTCGTCGTCGTCGTCGTCGTCGTCGGCGGCGGCGGCTGCGGCGGCTGCGGCGACCGCGGCGGCGGCGACCGCGGCGGCGGTTGGCGCCGCGTGCGGCGGCGCGGCCGTCGCAGGTCGACGCCCGCCTCGCGGCCGCGGTCTCGGCCGGCCTGCTGCCCCTGGCGGTGGAGCAGCCCGCGGGCGCCTACGACAGCGTCGTGGCCATGCTGCAGAGCTGGCTGGTCGCCAGCGGGAGGCAAAGAGGGAGGGCGGAGGGCGATCGACCGACCCCGAGATGTGGGCGTGGCCATTGCGTCACGCTGGGCGTCTTCGCCTGGTGTCGGGCCCCCGGGAACCATCACGGATCGATTCGGCTCCAAGAGATGCCGCGCAGAGACGGGGTCCTGGGTTTTGGTCGTGGCTTTTCGCTGTGTTGCCATTTTTCTCGTTGTTCGAGGTTCGAGGACGTTTGAGTCGGTTCTCGGCGGTTTTCCAGCCTCGGGATGTTTTTCAGCAGCTGCGCCTCGCCGAGGGCGTTCCAGGGGTGCCCCGATCGTCATCGTGACCCTAAACCTGTCATCATCATCGTGGTCATCGTCATCACTAGCAGCAGCAGCTGCAGCAGCAGCTGCAGCAGTAGCAGTTGCATCATCATCATCATCATCATCATCATCATCATCATCATCATCATCATCATCATCATCATCAACACCACCATCACCATCATCATCACTAGTATCCTCCTCCTTCTCTTCCTCCTCCTCCTCCTCCTCATCGTTATCATCAACACCATATACCAGCACTACTATCACGACATCATGTATGCTGAGTCGTAGTAGTATTAATAATACGTGTCGCAAGTTATTGTTAGTAGTAAAGAGTGTTGCTAGTCGTAAATATAGTGTTCGTGTTACTGCTTCTCGTAATACTCATATTATGGTAGCACTCCTCCTAGTAGTGCTAGTAACTTTAGTATTATGTGTATGAGTAGTACGAGTTTAGCATTGTTAATGTCAACAGCAGTATTATTTGCACTGTCATCATCTAGTGAAACTCGCAACATGATTATTTGTATGCTTATTAATCGTGTTATTAGCTGTTAACTATTAAAATGTATGTTGCCATTGTTTTTGGTCGTTGTTCTATGAGTTACCTCCTTCCAAGTTCCTAGTCTTCTGTACTACTATTTCTCCATATCCTAGCTGTCCTCATTGTCATCGTCATCACCAGAACATCCACGCGCGCCAGGCCTTCGCCGGCCCAACTCCTGGTCTGATGAGGCAGCCCAGACGGCCCACGGGGCCTCCAGGACGGCCCGAGAGCGCCTCGAGAGCCTGAGGATGGAGAAGTGCAGATATCGCGAGCCTTGCCTTGAGGTCCCGGTTGCACCCAAGAAGAGGTCCGGGGAGTAGCGGTATCGGTCCCTCCTCGTTTCCCCAGGGAGGGCCCCAGGACGGCCCACTGCAGGGAGGCTGACAAGACGGCCTCGGAGTGCAAGCGACAGATGGGCCAAGAGAGCCCCAAGACGGCCCCAGAGGCTTGGGGCCTAGCCCCTTCAGTCATCTTAAGGAAAAGCGTCGACTTTCGTGGACTCCAGATTCGGCTTCAGAGAACCAAGAATCTGGGTGGGACCCTGGGCGTTTTCTTCGAGCTTACCTTCTTCGCAGAATGCTCGTATACGTGGACCTGGACTACTGCTTAGCCCACCGCCTGGAGTGACGCCCATTATCTAGGCGTAGTTTTCTGAACTCTAAGCAGGGGTGCAGCCCAAGAGCCCAAGAGCGCCCTGGCATCGGCGTCACCCCAACATACTTCTACTGCATGTGCGTCGCCCCCCCGGGGGCGCTGCGCGCACCGAGAAATCTGACATGGGCGGCGCGCGCCTCCAAGGAGAACGGGCGGGCGCGCGCCTCCAAGGAGAACGCATAGTGCTAGGATGCCTCTGCGCGTCCCCTGGGAGTCGGGTCGGGCGAACGGGGGGGATTGGGAAAGGGGGGGGTACGAAATTTGCTGCATGCAGCTGGTTTCGGCCTCACCGAGGGGCCCATTCCTCGATACATGGCCGCCTCCGGCGCCGGGAGGCGCCGGGAAAATCAGCTGCGTGAGCTGATTCTCAAACCCCCCCTTTGCTATCCCCCCCTTTTGCTCGACCCGAGTGGTGGATCCTCGTGAGGTCCCATGCGCCACCCACCGGCTAGCCACACTGCTCGAGCACGCCACCCTGCGAAGCCGCGCGTCGCACCATCACCATCCCCCCCCGCCGCCTCCGCCGCCGCCCAGGGAGGCTCTCCAGGAGGCCCCCCTTGCCCTGCGGGGGGCCGACGGTCCTCCGGGGCGCGGCCTCGGGCCGGGCCGCCGCGGAGGGCCCCCGCGGGGGCGGCGGGTGGCTCCGTCCCCGGGCGGGGCGCGGCCGAGGCACAGGGCGGCCCGTCGCTGGGGTCGCGTGTCCTCGGAGGGCGATGGTCCCCTCCTTGTCGTCGTCGTCCTCCTCCTCCTCCTCCTCGTCCTTCTCCTCCTCCTCCTCCTCCTCCTCCTCCTCCTCCTCCTCCTCCTCCTCCGCTGCTGCACTCTTTGCTCTTTCCTCTTGTGCTCAACTTGCGATCCCGTGAGCCGGTTTCCGGTCTGCTGCTTCGTTTGCGATGAGCGTCCGCCAGCGCTGCGTCGGGGCTGTCGGACGGGACTAGGACAATGATAAGTCCATCCAGAGCGTTTGGGACGCTCTCAGAGCATTCGCAACGCTTGAGAAGGCCGCGGCGGCCGAGATATCCTGCAGAGCCGCCGGATTGTTGAGGTTCTCGATTTACCTTTACCCGATTTTTTTCCTCGCCCTGGCTTCGTCTTAGGCTGGGCTCTTCCTGTCCCCCGGTGGCGCCACACGGGGCGTTCCGGGAAATGGGCCTCTCGCCTTCGGCGCGTGCTCGCTCTCGGCGGAACACGCCGGCGCGGAAGACTGGCGGCGGGAGCCGACGGAAGCAGCGCGGTGGCGGCTCCGCTGGCAGAAGGCGGCGGAAGTAAACTTGGGGCGCGCGCAATGGAGGGGTGGTAATTGGGGGGGTCAGCGAGGGCTGCCGAAAGGAGCCTTGTAGGTCCGTTAAAGAAGCCTTCTAGGGCCCGAAAGGGGGCCTGCAGAGCCCGAAGATGGCACCCTTCTTCCCCTCCATCGATCGAGCGCCCCCCGTTAAGCCGCGCCGAGTAAAAGCCGACGTCGACATCGACTACACGTAAGAGTGACCTTTGGCTGGAGTGACCTTTGATGGTTCGGATGCAACTCCTGGGATGTCAAATTCTGACTTTACCCTGGTCCGAAATCCAGCTTGATCCCATTTAATCCGGTTGAATCCCGCTTATCCCGTTTAATCCCGATTAATCCCTCCCCAGTACTTCCGACGAATGCCTCCCAGTAGTTGCCTCCAAATTTTGGTGCGGGCCCCAATGGGCCCCCCCGATCGCCGACCGCGATGCGACAGTGGCGTCCTGCGCGCTTGGGCTTCCCCCCCCCCGCGGCTCCCCGAAAGCCGCGCACAAAAGGCCACCCTTGCCTAGGGCCACTCTTGCGCGGACGGTCGGACCGAGATGTAGGATCGGGGTCGGTTCGGGGAGGCTGCCCCAGTGTTCTCCTTGCTTGTTGGATGTTCTTGTGTATCGGGGGGGAGGGGGCCCTCGAAATTACTTCAGTTTGGCTGGCGGAGGATCTCATGTCCTTGAAGGGTGTTCTTCTGTCCTAGGTTTGGGCGTAGCCGACCACGCGCTTGGCTCAGATCGCATCCTGGGTGAGGTCTGGGGTCTGGGGAGTAGTGGTAGCGGTACCTCCTGGTTCCCCCAGACTAAGGTCGAATGCCTACAGAATCAGGGACCCCCCCCCAAACGGGCGGTGACCACACCGTACGGTGAGTCAGTGGGGATTCGGGGTGACCGCACGGCCTTGGGACCTGGGTCGTTCTCCGAGGGCTCCTCGGGCGACGGGGGCCTCCAGGGTCCCGGCACGGCGCGTTGACGCACCGTGCAGGGACGTCCTCCGGGATGTCGGAGGGCACCGCACGGTCGGTCGCCGCGCCGCCCGCGGGCCTCTCCAACCAAGGCTTCGACCTCGACGGCTGGTGCCGCGGGGCTCGGCTCGGCTCGCTGCTCGCGAGGCGGGGGGGCAGCGCGCTCCGTCGGAGCTCTGTCGCGGGCCTACAGGTTGACACCAACACCAAGATCGGCGGTGTGCCTCCACCGAGGGAGGACGATCCCGATCTCGGTGATGGTGGTAATATTCTGGCTTCAAGGTGACCGAAATATTACCACCAACACCGAAATCTAAGGTCATCTTCCCCATGTGGAGGCGAACGCCCTATGCTGGTGTTGGTGCCAATTTCCAGGCCTCCCACTCTGGGCTCCCTTGTTGGCTGTCGGGCCACACCTCGAGCCTTCGGCGGCCGCCCGGGGGCCCTCTAGGGCACCCCGGGGGCGCCGCCGACGGGGCGCGGCCGCTGCAGAGCATCCCGAATATAGAGAGAGCGCCCCCAAGAGCCCACGACTCGGACGACGACGACGACCTCTCCCGCATGGCGAGGAGTTGGGTCGAGTAGCGTCTCCGTCGTTGGCCGTGCGAGTTTTTAATGCAGGCTGGTACGCGTGCGGCTGGTCTTTGTCAGATCAAAAAGCCCGTCTCGGAACCGATCGGACGGGGCTGGGACGAGGATCAATCCGTTCCAGAGCTGTCCAGAACGCTCGCAGAGCGTTCCGGAGCGTTCTGAGGAGGTCGCGGCGCCCGATACATCCTCCAGATCCGCCACCCAGGTCCTCTAGATCGCAGTTCTTGATTTATCACCACCCAGATTTGGCCTTCGTCTTAGCAGTGAAAAATCAGGTCGTCGGATGTCCACCCCAGACTCGGTTGGGGCCCCCAGAGGCCCCGTCAGGGCCACCAGAAGCCCGGTCAGGGCCCCCAGAGGCCGAAACTGGCTAAAAGCCTCCCGTCGTGATTTTTTTTGACCCGAGGGGGTCTCTGGGTCTGGGTCTGGGTCTTGATTTTCTGATGCCCCGAGGGTATCCAGAGGTTGTACGGGGATCTTCAGGTATACACCACCACCACCACCTCCCTCATCCCCTCCCTCTCCCAGGAAGCAGGAGCGAAAGATGAGGGTGGACGGGAGGAGGCATCGACGTGGTGGTGTCTATTCTTGGGGCCCGCAGGTTGGGGGCACCGTGCTCACCATCATCATCGCGGCGGCGCTCGTGGCCGCGACGGCCAACCCGCTTTCGAAGCGGCGGGCGGCGGTCGCGGCCCAGGTCGAGGGGAAGCGGTGAGAAGCGGTGGGCTGCCTCACTCGGCGACCGGCACGCGCCCTGGCCCTCTGGCGCCACAGCAAGCCCAGGCTTCCGAGGATCTGACTTCGGGATCCCGTCAAGGGGGGCCCCGGTGTGTGTGTGTGTGTGCCCAGAAATCCAACGTATTGAAACAATCAAGACGGAGGTTTCTCGCTGTTTTCGGCCTCGAGGGGCCCTCGCCGGGCCTCGGGACCGTCAAAAAACCACTCAGGATGAAAAACCGGTCCTGGGGAATGGGTCGAGACTTCCGGGGACCCCGTATGGAAAAAACACGACATCGGATGTCTGTGTGTGTGTGTGTGCGTTCGATCGGCTTCTGCGCCGAACCGCCCAAAACAGACGCCCTCCAGCCGCCGACAGCGTCCGAGACCTGCGGATCGATGGGGCGTGCGGGGGGCATCTGTTTGCGGCAGTTCGGTGCACCAGCGGATCGAACTCATGCCCCCCCCCCTCAGGGTCACCCCCTCTTTGGTGGATCTTGATCTATGAGCGACAGAAACAACCCAGATGTCCGATCCAAAACTATTGGAGTGGCCGTTTTTTGGGCCCCTCGCCAGGCCGAACAGGAGACGACCTCAGGACGAACAGCTGGCCCCAGATATGTGGTCCAGACCTCTGGGGCCCACGCATCGAAAAAAATGGAGCGGCCAGATGTCTGGGAACGGGGTCGTCTGCGCCGACATGTGCGCGTAAGCTGTCCGCGCAAGGTCCCGCGCGCACACCCTCGTCTCCAATGTGGCGTGCCGCGCCTTCGGCCGCGCGAGCCACCGCATGGGATCGCTGCGCCACCTTGCGCAAGAGCCCCTGTCTTTCATCGCCCATCTGTTTTTGCTCGATCTGGGAGCTTTCGAAGAAGAAACGCGGCGTAAACATCAAATTTTGGAGCTCCGCACGCATTTCCTGGATCGGCGCTTCCGGCGCCGCCCCTGGCGCGCTCCGCGCGCCAGGGAGGGGGGCCAGCGCCGATCCAAGCAATCCGTGCGGACATCCGAATGTGCATGTTTACGCAGATTCGTGTTTCTCTAAGCGTTTCCTGGGCCTTCGTCCTCTCCTTCTCGTCCTCGCTTCCTGATCTTCCTGTCCTCTTGCCGCCTGGAAGTCGTTGCGGTTCTACGGGCGCGGTGGTTGCCGGAGCACCATGTCATGAGATGTTAGCGGACTGCTCGGGATCTCCCTCACCTCCTTGTCACGAGTACTCTTAACATTTTTGGCCGCTCGGCGCTCATTGTCTCAGGTCGAGCGTCTGCGTGGGGGCTTTCCCGTCGAAGGCTGTGATCTGTTTGTAGTGCTCGATGGGTCTGCAGTCGCCGTGATGCGTGCGCCACTGAAGAGAGAAGTGGGCGTTGTGCTCCGTAAAAGGAGGCTGTCTCTGGAGCCCGATTTTGGGCCTCAGGGCCCTCAAGCTTGATCCAGGGCGAAAAACCGGCCCAGGGGAAGGGGTCGGGACTTCTGGGGCCGTGCATTTCGGACGGGGCAAGGACGAGGTCAAATCCGTCCCAGAGCGTGCCAGAACGGTCGCGGAGCCGTTCGGAACGCTCTGATAAGGCCGCGGCGCCCGAGACATCCTTCAGAGCCGCCGGACCTCCGAAATTCTCGATTCACCCTCGCCCGAATTTATCCTCGTCCTGGTTTCGTCGTAGCATGGAAAGAGCAGGTCGTCGGATGTCCACCCCAGGCCCGGGCAGGGCCCCCAGGTGCCGAAACTAGCCAAAAGCCTCCCGCCGTGATGTGTTCCTGATGCGAGGGGGTCTGGGTCTGGGTCGTGATTTTGTCCTGACCCGAAGGTAGCCACATGTTCTGCGTGCTTGTTCGCGCTTGCTGGGTGTCCTTGTGCATCCTGGGGGGGGGCCGAGATATGAGATCGAGGTCGGTTCCAGGAGGGTAGCCTAATGTTCTTCGTGCTTGTTGGATGTTCTTGTGGATCCTGGGGGGGGGGACCGAGATGGGGGGGACCGAGATATAAGATCGAGGTCGGTTCGGGTAGGTCAGCCTGATGTTGTTCGTGCCTGCCGGATGTTCTTGTGGATCCTGTGGGGGGGACCGAGATATAAGAGCGAGGTCGGTTCGGGGAGGTCAGCCTGATGCTGTTCGTGCCTGCCGGATGTTCTTGTGCATCCTGGGAGGTGGTACCGAGATAACAGATCGAGGTCGGCTCGGGGAGAGTCGCCAAATGTTGTTCGTGCTTGTTGGTTGTTCTTGTGCATCCTGAAGGGGGGTACCGCGATAGAAGATCGAGGTCGGTTCGGGGAGGTTAGCCTAATGTGCTGCGTGCTTGTTGGATGTTCTTGTGCATCCTAGGGGGTGGTACCAAGATATAAGGTCGAGGTCGGTTCGGGGAAGGTTGATGGTCCTCGTGTGTTGGGTGTCCTTGTGCATTCACGGTGGGGTACCGAGATTTTAAGATCGATGTCGGTTCGGGGAGGGCAGCCGAAGGTTCTTCGTGCCTGTTGGATGTTTTTGTGCATCCAGGGGGGGTAATGACCGAGATATAAGATCGAGGGCGGCTCGGGGAGGGTAGCCTAATCTTCTTCGTGCTTGTTGGATGCTTTTCTGCATCCCAGAGGGGGGATACCGAGATATAAGGTCGAGATCGGTTCGGGGAGGGTAGCCTGATGTTGTTCGTGTTTGTTGGTGTGCATCTTGGGGGGTGGTACCGAGATATAAGATCGAGGGCGGCTCGGGGAGGGTAGTGGAATGTTGTTCGTGTTTGTTGGATAGTCTTGTGCATCCTGGAGGGTACCGAGATTTAAGATCGAGGTCGGTTCGGGGGGTGGACCTAATGTTTTTCGTGTTTGCTGGATGGTCTTGTGCATCCTGGGCTGGGGGGTGGTACCGAGATATAAGATCGAGGTCGGTTCGGTAAGGCTAGCCTCATGTTTTTCGTGCCTGTTGGATGTTCTTGTGCATCCTGGGGGGAGGGGGGACCGAGATATAAGACTGAGGTCGGTTTGGGGAGGGTAGGGTAATGTTCTCTGTGTTTGTTGGGTGGTCTTGTGCATCCTAGGGGTGGGGTGCACCCTCTGTGGTCATATGGTTTGTTCCCAACCATCCTGTGGTGTTGGGTCCTCGTTTTGAAGAGGCGGTCCCCGCGTTCCTCTCCTCTCGTCCTCCTCTTCCCCCTCCTCCTCCCTCCTCCCTCTTCCATGCGTTTCACCCACCCAGCACAGCGCTTCGTGGCCCAATAGGGAGCTCCACCGCAGCCCCCAGTGGCCCGGCCTGCATGCGTCCGCCACCACCCAGCACAGCCCTTACTCCCTGCGTTTCACCCACCCAGTACAGCGTTTCGTTGCCCCACAAGGGGGCTCCGCCGAAGGTCCCAGTGGCACCGCCCGCATGCGTCCGCCACCACCCAACACGGCCCTTGCTCCCTGCGTTTCACCCACCCAGTCCAGCGTTTCGTGGCCCCATAGTCGGGGGCGGAAAAGAGGGGGGTGTTGACTAGGGGGGGGTGGATATCATGGCGAGGGCCATGATATTTCCCGAGATTTCATGGCGCCTCTTCTTACTTCATTACGTCCCTGGCCCCCCCGCTGGGCCGCGCACATGCCGCCGGTCATGATTTGCACCCCCCCCTCTTGGACACCCCCCTTTTGGCCGCTCCCGACATAGGGAGCTCCACCGAAAATCCCAGTGGCACCGCCCGCATGCGTCCGCCACCACCCAACGGCCCTTGCTCCCTGCGTTTCACCCACCCAGTCCAGCGTCTCGTGGCCCCATAGTCGGGGGCGGAAAAGAGGGGGGTGATGACTAGGGGGGGTGGATATCATGGCGAGGGCCATGATATTTTCCCAGATTTCATGGCGCCTCTTCTTATTTCATTACGTCCCTGGCCCCCCCTGGGGCCGCGCACATGCCGCCGGTCATGATTTGCACCCCCCCTCTTGGACACCCCCCTTTTGGCCGCTCCCGACATAGGGAGCCCCACCGAAGGTCCCAGTGGCACCGCCCGCATGCGTCCGCCACCACCCAACACAGCCCTTGCTCCCTGCGTTTCACCCACCCAGTACAGCGTTTCGTGGCCCCATTGGGGGGCTCCACCGAAGGTCCCAGTGGCACCGCCCGCATGCGTCCGCCACCACCCAGCACAGCCCTTGTTCGCCCACCCAGTACAACATTTCGTGGCCTCATAGGGAACTCCACGGAAGGTCCCAGTGGCACCGCCCGCATAGGTCCCAGTGGCACCGCCCGCATGCGTCCGCCACCACCCAGCACAGCCCTTGCTCCCTGCGCTTCGCCCACCCAGTACCGCGCTTCTTGGCCCCATAGGGGGTTCCACCGAAGGTCCCAGTGGCACCGCCCGCATGCGTCTGCCACCACCCAGCACAGCCCTTGCTCCCTGCGTTTCGCCTTCCCAGTACAGCGCTTCGTGGCCCCATAGGGAGCTCCACGGAAGGTCCCAGTGGCACCGCCCGCATGCGTCCGCCACCACCCAACACGGCCCTTGCTCCCTGCGTTTCACCCACCCAGTACAGCGTTTCGTGGCCCCATAGGGAGCGCCACCGAAGAAGATATTTACAATTGCGGTACTCACAACTGCATATGGTTGGATCCTTCGCCAGGCTAATTTTTTGGGGGGGCTGGCGGAGGGTCTCATGTTCTTGAAGGATGTTATTATGTCCTGGGTTTTTCATCCTGTGGTGTTGGGTCTTCGTTTGAAGAGAGACAGCGCCCCGCGTTACTCCTAATTCCTCGCCCTCCTCCCTCCTACCATCCTTGCCTTTGCCCTCCGCACCAGTCAACCATTTCGGCGTACGCCTCAGACGCTTCGTGGCCCCATGAGGAGCTCCTCCAAAGGCCAGTGGCTGCGTTTGCATGCGCCCGCCGCATCCATGTCGGCACAGCCCTCACACGTTTAATTGCCCCACAAGTAGCTCCACCGAAGGCCCGGGTGGCTGCGTTAGCATGCGTCCGCTCCGATCATTTCCGGCCCACCACTCAAACTTTTCGTGGTCCTAAAGGGAGCGCCACCGAAGGCTCCAGTGGCGGTGATCGCGTGCGCCCGCCCCGTCCATTTCGAGAACTAGATTCGTCACATTCGCGGCCTCATACGGAGCTCCACCGGCCTCATACGGAGCTCCACCGAAGGCCCCAGTGGTGGTGTTCGCATGCGTCAGCTCAAACCCTCGCACGTTTCGTGTCTCCGTTGGGAACTCCACCGAGGACCCAAGTGGCTGCGTTGGCATGCGCTCACCGCGTCCATGTCGGTACATTCCTCACACGCTTCGTGGCCCCATAGGGAGCTCCAGCGATGGCAATACTCACAACTGCGTCACTCACTGGTTGGATCCTTCGCCAGGCTAATTTCACTACGTCGACCCCCAGAGGTCTCGACCCATTCCCTGGCACCGGTTCTTCATCCTGGGGCATTTTTTGACGATCCCCAGGCCTGGTCAGGGCCCCCAGAGGCCGAAGTTAGCAACCCCCTGCCCCCCTCCGTCGTGACTTTTGCATGACCCGAGGGGGTCGTGGCACTGCGCTGTGAGAGAGTCGTGGCGTCGGGGGACTGGGTGTTGTGTCGTGGCGGGTGTTCTTGTCCGCGGTCCCCGGCCTCCAGAGGCTCGTCGTGTTTGGCCGTGAGGGCGTGTCCGGGTCCACGGGGTGGGGGCGAAAGGTCCAGGGATCCTCGAGCAGGAAGGAGATCGACTGCAGACCCGGTTTGCCCCAAACTTGGAGGGCTCGCCGAATCGACCCAGAAGCAATGCGCAGAGTGTTCGTGCGTCGATCTGCGAACCTCCTGCGTGCCTCTTCGCGGCCCCGACGGAGAACCCCCTTTCGGGGTACATCCATCTTGTAGGTCGATCCCCTGCCCGAGATCCAGCTCACGCTGCGGTCGTGGCGCCGGATGCTCCGGGCGCCGTGCTGGACGGCGGAGGTTTTTTGAAGCCGTCGGGGGCAGTCGCGCGGACGGGCTGCGGTCGGGTGTTCGGCCTTCGGGTCCACGCGCGCGCGCGTTCCGCGCGCGCCTCCTCGGGACGTCGGGCTGGGAGGGGGGGGCTCAGGCGCACGCGCCATGAGGTACACATCGACGTCGCCGCTTGTTATGTTCCAACCTGCTCTGGCCCTGATCACCAGCAAGGACCTCGGGCACCACGAAGGTACCGAAGTTGGAGGGCGTTCACGTGTCGGGCCCCGGGAGGCGATGCTCGTTCGGCGCTGCTTCGATGTTTTTCTGGGTGCTCTGAATCATTTCTGGGATGTGGTCCTTAAGTGCGATGGGAGCAACATGAATCACCGCCGCCACTTTCAGTTGGGTTGGGTGGACGGGAAGCGGACTTGCACCGCGCATGCACGTGCGGCTGCGGCGCACCCGACGGGAAACATGTTTTCGGCCAACGGTTGTGGGTTGAATGTTTGCCATGGGCCGCTACGCGGGCGGTATAAGCGGGCTCAGGTCAGCATGAGAAGTGGCTCCTCCGTCTCCTCCTCCGTCTCCTCCTCCGTCTCCTCCTCCTCCTCCTTCTCCTCATCCCTCCTCCTCCTCCTCCTCCTCCTCCTTCTCCTCCGTCTCCTTCTCCGCCTCCTCCTCCTCCTCCTCCCTCCTCCTCCTCCTCCTCCTCCTCCTCCTCCTCCTCCTCCTCCTCCTCCTCCTCCTCCTCCTCTTCCTCCTCCTCCTCCTCCTCCTCCTCCTCCTCCCCCACCTCGCCCTCCTCCCCCCTCCTCCTTCCTTTGATGAGCCCCGCTTGCCACAGCCCCTGGGTGGCAGCGAACTCCACACCGGCAGGTCTCCTGGTGCTGCTCTTGGCTTGTTCCTTCCGTGGCAGAGTCCTGCGGCGGGCGATCCTTGACGAGGGCAGCCGTGGTGACAAGTCTGATGGATGGTCTCCCGGAGATCCTGCCGTCATGCGGCCTCCAGGGGCGCTCTCAGAGGTCTCATCCAGGGTGTCTTGGCTGGTCTTCGAGGCCAACGCTGCAGTCATCGACGAGGCGTTGTTGTTCGATTGGTTTGGTTTCTCGCCCCGCCCTTCTCCCCGCAGCGGCTCCAGGGTTATCTTGGAATCTACGACGATTTGGATTCGTCTTGCAGGCCTTCTTGGCATGACTCGAGGCCTTATTCTAGCTTATCTGGGGCCATCTTGGACCGTCTTGGGAACGTTTGGGAAAGTGTTGTCAGCCGTCTGGCCATCGTGGGGCTTCGGGGGCCGCATTGGGGTGTCCTGGAAGCCCCAGGGGGTATGCGGAAGGTTTGCACCTCTTTGCGCAGGGCCGTGCGCGCCCAGTTCCTGGCGCACGTAAGACAGTGTTTGGTGGCCCAGACCGATCTGAGGCGGATAGTGACGAATACCAGTCGCAAGCCGGTAAGTAGTAGTGTTATGGCGTATTGACTGTCAGCTGCGAGCTTCAAGTTCTTAATGGTTGGATCATGTGCGCTAGCTGCTGTAGTCTGCTACTTCACTGCGTGCTGATCATCCGATCGAATCTCATATAAGTGGTGCTGGGCTTGTTTATGCCACTGCTGCAATCCGCAGGACATGTACCACTACTAATGCGTCTGCACCTGCAGAAGGTAAAGCAACAACAGCTGCAACTGCAAGCGCTTTCCTCGTGCATCCTCACCAGTCCGTCCAGACACGGTGCCCAGCGGATGAGCGTGGCATCATTTTGGGATATCGGTGGGCTTTGTGAGCCAGCGGCCCTTTGGATGCCTCAGGGTCTTTTGGGGTGTCTCTTGAGGCCCTCTTAAAGGTATCTTGGGGCGATCTGGCCTCTTGGAGCATCTTGGGTGCCTCTTGGGGGCCTCTTGGAGCCCCTTAGGGGCCTCTTGGGGGCCTCCAGGTGCTTCCTTGATGGTTTTTCGGGCCGTCGTGGGGCCATCTGGGAGGCTATCGATCAACAAAGGGGCGGTCCTCAATTGACCCCCCCGCCCCCCAGGAGGCCAAAGTGGGTCCCAAACCTGAGGAACATTTTTTTGTTCGCCTTCTCGAGGAGGCTTTCTTGGACACCCTAATGCTCCGTCGCCCCCCCTCGTCCAGACCCAGGGGGATGGGGTATGGGGGAGGGATCAAGACTCCTCCCCCTCCTCCTCCTCCTCCTCCTCCTCCTCCTCCTCCTCCTCCTCCTCCTCCTCCTCCTCCTCCTCCTCCTCCTCCCCTCCTCCTCCTCCTCCTCCTCCTCCTCCTCCTCCTCCTCCTCCTCCTCCTCGATGGAGCACGGAAAAGGGCCCCCTGAGGATGGCAGGCTCCGCCGCGGCCTCGCTCGCTCCCACCCGCCCTCGCAAGACACACGTAGCACCCGAGCCGCAGCACGTTCAGCGGTCGCCCTTGGATGGGCAGCTAATGGGAACCAGCACAGGCTCCATGTGCTCAACTTTTGGGGCGCGGCGCGCCACGCGTGCCTGGCGCGCCACGCGCCCCAGGTGCGCCAGGCACCCCGTTGGCCTAAGCGTGCCAGGCACGCCTGGTGCGCCAGATGCGCCACGCGATCCACGTGCGCCATGTGTGCCGCGTGCTCCAGCCGCGCCAAGTGCGCCACGTTCGAGACACGCGCAGAGTGTGCCAGGTGCGCCTGCACACGTGGCAGTACACATCGGGCAACGTGTCGGCCCCCACCACCCTTGTCGAAAACCAGTGCGCAATCGCGGCGGGGTGGCCATCATCGTGTCTGATGGGTCTGCACAGAGCAGGCAGTATGCCAGCACCCCCGCCGTCCCAGTCAAAAACCAATCCGCAGTGATCGCGGCGTGCCCGCGCACGATCCAGATTTGCCTCAAAGTGCATGTTGTGCTTTCTGATTAATTTGTTGACAGAGATGCTGGCCCTGCGCGCAGCAGGCAACATGCGGGCACCCCCGCCACCCCTGCCAAAAAGCAATACGAAGTGTTCGGCCCCCCACGATGATCCAATATTCAGCCCCAACGTGAATTTCATATTGGCTGATGACATGGATATTGTCGGGGGGGGTCCTCATTGGTCCTGGTTGGCTGTCGGTCGCCTAGGGGAGGGGGTCTTAATTGATAGGGAACAGTGATCAAGCTACTCTCCTAGATAGCAGGCCGCCTAGCTCACTTCCACCCGCCCTCCTAACACATATATGTATATGTATATATATATATATATATATATATATATATATATATAATACCCGAGTGTCAGCAGATCGCCTAGGAACGCCACACATGCCATGCGCGCCACAGGTTTCAGATGTGCACCAGGCACCCTGGAGGCCCAGGCGTGCCAGGTGTGGCACATGCCCCACGTGCGTCAAGTGCGCCATGTGCTCCAGCCGCGTCAGGTGCGCCAGCTACAGGGGGCCAATAGGGACCCCAGGTGCCTGGGGCCCTGGCCCCAACGAGTTCAGGACCTCCCTGAAGCGTCGTGCCGAGTATTCTGTGAGAAGGGCGGCCCCTCCAAGGAGCGCAAAGCCCCCACACCGATGGACACATCGTGACATCTTGAGGAGCCGTGAAACAGACGAGAGCTCAGAGAAAAGAGGGCCATGCTCATGCTCCAGTGTTGGAGCGAAAGCGTATTTATATGTTGTTTTGGCAGAGATGGTTGCCCTGCGCGCAGCAAGCAATCTGCGACATCCCCGCCGTCCCTGTCAACACCCAGTGCAAAATATGGTCGCGGGGTGCCCACGCATGTTCCACATCTGGGTTGGCTGACGGTCGCCTAGGGGGGGGGTGTTCATTAATAGGGAACAGTGATCAAGAGACTTTCCCCGCCCGCAAGTCGTCCCGCTCCCTTCCAACACATAAGTAGCACCCGAGTCTCAGCATATCGCCTGCGCGCGGCAAGCAACATGCCGGCACCCACGCCGTCCCTGTCATTTATCATAAATCCATGCAGAGTGGTCGCGGGGCGCCAGCGCATGCTCCAGATTAGGAGGCAACGTGCGTTTTTATTTACCCAACAGCGAAGACTGATAGGCTTCTAGTTGTCTCAAAAGAGAGCATCATGACTCCCCGGGGGGGTCTGGGCAGATGCCGGACGGGTGCCGCGGGAATCTGGGGACTGCCGCGGGAATCCGGGGATTCTTTTTTTAGCCAACAGTAAGGCATTTCGTCGTCTTCGAGTTCCCAGAACTCCATTTCTGGGCATGATTTTGAATGCCCGGAGCCAACTATAGGCCACTTCGTGTTCTTCGAGTTCCCAGAAATCCATTCCTGGGCATGACTTTGAATGCCCGGAGCGAACTGTAGGCCACTTCGTGGTCTTCGAGTTCCCAGAACTCCATTCCTGAGCATGATTGTGAATGCCCGGAGCGAACTGTAGGCCACTTCGTGGTCTTCGAGTTCCCAGAGCTCCATTCCTGGGCATGATTTTGAATGCCCAGAGCCAACTGTAGGCCACTTCGTGTTCTTCGAGTTCCCAGAACTTCATTCCCGGGCCACATTTTGAATGCTGAGGCAGGCTGATGCTGAGGCTGAGGCAGGCTGAGGCTGAGGCTGAGGCTGAGGCTGAGGCTGAGGCTGAGGCCGAGGCTGAAGGCAGACTGAGGCTGAGGCTGAAGCAGGCTGAGGCTGAGGCTGAGGCAGGCTGAGGCTGAGGCTGAAGGCAGGCTGATGCTGAGGCAGGCTGAGGCTGAGGCTGAGGCTGATGCAGGCTGAGGCTGAGGCATGGCTGAGGCAGGCTGAGGCTGAGGGCAGGTGAGGCTTAGGCTGAGACAGGCTGAGGAGGCTGAGGCAGAGGCTGAGGCTGAGGCTGAGGCAGGCTGATTCTGAGGCTGAGGCAGGCTGAGGCAGCCTGAGGCTGAGGCTGAGGCTGAGGCTGAGGCAGGCTGAGGCTGAGGCTGAGGCAGGCTGAGGCTGAGGCAGGCGAGGCTGAGGCTGAGGCTGATGCAGGCTGGGGCTGAGGCAGGCTGAGGCTGATGCCGAGGCTGAAGGCAGATTGAGGCTGAGGCTGAAGCAGGCTGAGGCTGAGGCAGAGGGAGGCTGAGCTTGAGGCTGAGGCAGGCTGATGCTGAGGCAGGCTGAGCTGAGGCTGAGGCTGATGCAGGCTGAGGCTGAGGCAGCCTGAGGCTGAGGCCGAGGCTGAGGGCAGACTGAGGCTGAGGCT